CTTCCTGTTGAGGGTTTCGGGCATTGGCGTTTTGAAGGGGACTGTAGGGTCCTATTGGCGGACACAGCCACACGTGCATGGGCCGATCATCCTCCAGCTGCTGTAGGACAGCGCGAACACCTTTATCCGTAGCTAGATCACTGCCGTTCCAAGGTCCGATACACGTCGCCAGACTGGAGTCTGATGTGAGTTGCTGAATGGCTACGGACAAACTACTGTCAGGAACGTCAGACACTTCCAGAAGCGCTCTACGCCTATGTCCCGTCAAGGCCTGAAATATCCCCGGAACCACACCCCAAGCTACTTCCTCTAAGTGCCGCGCTTTGGAGAGACTAAGCTGCTGACTCAACTTCTGGGATGCACTAAGGATATGACGTTCCTTGGACTCATCCTCGCTCAGGCCGCACTCGAACGGCCAGGGCTCTTCGTCTTCTGGGGAATCATGGTGAAGGAGGCGTCCGTCTCCCCGCCCGTCTCGGGCTCGACATCCTTGCCTTTCTTGCGCGCCGGCTGGCGAGCATCCTTCAAATCTTGCACCTCCGCGCTCAGCTCCTTGATCACGGCAGTCAGGGCATCCAACCGTTCGTCCTTGTTGCTGCTGGAGAGGGCCGTCGTCTGCGCTTCCTTGTAGCCGCTCTTCTGGAGGAGGCTCAGGACTGGACGTCCCACCGTCTCCTGGGGCGTCGTCTGTAGCTCGTTCTCGTCCTGTTGCTCGATCCATCGAGCCAAGCGACGCAGACGGAAGTCGCTCAACTCCTTGCGCTCGCGAGCGGTGTTCACCACCCATCGGCAGTAGCCCTTCTCCTGCTCGTAGAGGTCGCCGTAGGTGAGGAGACCATGTAGTCCGAAAGAGACCAGGTCGCGGAAGTCCCCCTCGGTGATCTCCAGGATTTTCTTGACGCCCTCCATCTGGATGCGAGTCTTCGTCCAGGCGTCGATGTTGGACATCCGAAGTTCGGTCTGGCAGAATTCCACCAGATCGGCCTTGCGCTTGGCAGCCGCCGCATTCAGCTTCTTGGTGAGGGCCTGAGCTGGCGACTGATTCTTGTGCTTGGTTTTCATAGTCTTGGACATGTCCTCGCCAGTCAGTTCCTCGAGACGAACCATGAGCTCGGCTCGTGTCCATCCCCTGGGAGGTGTTTCGCCCAGCTGAATCAGGGCCGCACGGAGCTCGTCCACCTTGAGGCCCGCCATGACCAGGATCACCGGGAGAAAGGCGAGGAGATTGGGAATGCTTTGCTTGTTCCAACACTGCTGCCGCTAGTTTAGTTCCATCTTCAAGCTCACTACTGTCTCGCACACACACTGTAGCTACCCCTGTACAACTAGATTCAGCTGCACTACACCCCCGTCTTGAAACACATGTCGTATCCTTCCCTTTTCCGTCAAGACTCGGTTGGGGAAGGAGTTGTCCCTACTCTACAGGAGTCTCGGCTTGAAACAGCGTACCGTCAGGACTGGCCGAAAAATCTTTCTCAGAAGTCGAGGAGGTCGAAGCGTCACCTGAGGTGCCCTTAAGAGGGTTGTCCACATAGGACTCGACATTCTGACAAAACTCCCGGAGCGAGGGGATTGGCCGCTTGG